CCCTCTACAGGAAGTTAGAAGCCAATAGAGCAGTGGATCTCAACCTTCCTCATGTGGAGACCCTTTCATACAGTGCCTCATGTGGTGGTGACCCCCCAACCATAACATTATTTTTGTTGTTACTTCGTGACTGTCATTTTGCTACTGTGATGAATTGAGCGACCCCTGTGAAAGGGTCGTTGGACCCCGTGAAAGGGTTGTTTGACCCCCAAAGGGGTCGGGACCCACAGGTTGAGAACCACTGCAATAAAGGCTAGAGGGCATGCACAAATTCAGGCCCTTGAGCCAGGAAGCCAGTATACCTGGGAGGGGCCGATCCAGGCCAGGTGGGCTTAATTCAGCAATGGGGTCAACCAATACCATCGATCACGCCTCCCAGCAGAGGGCTCTGAGAAGCCAGAACGTTCTAGACCACTGCCCTCTTTTCCAGCCGCTCCCCGCCGGGCTGTGGTTCCTCTGGCCTCAGGTCCCCACGTGTGGGTGTGGAAGTGCCCCGAGGGTGCCTGTGTAAAACCCTAACTTCTGTCCTTTACACAAACCTACTTGGATCACAAACGAGGTTTCAGCGTGATTTCTTTCTCCAGAGAAGCCAAAGATCGAGGTATTTCTAACCCGAGAAACCTACCTTGCCAGTGATTTGCTCACACCCACTCCCCTGAAGGTGGGCGGTTTGAATCCACCCAGCGACACCGGCTACAGTGAGGAAACCCCCTGAAGCAGCTCTTCTGCGGCTCTAGTTCCCACAGGGGCGCCTGGAGGCCGACAGGACTTGACCGCAGCAGACACCTGCCTCCCGGCGACCCAGAGGAGCACCACACGTTAGAGTAGATCTCTGCTCCCAGGGTCTCTTCTCCCCCCCCCATGTTCTTTCGTGGGGAGTTGATCACCGGACCCTTTTTCTAAGGCACCTCGGGGTGGACTCGAATCATCGACCATGGAGAGCGCTGCTCGACCCTTGAGCCGCTCCGAGCCGGAGTGCCTGCTTCCACAAGTTAGAGGGGTGCGGTGCACCCTGGGGAACGGGGTGATCCACTCCTAGAGTCCAACCGCTTGTATTTGTGGGAGTGGCACGTTTCAAAATGTGACAAGAGCCTGGTGGAGATGGGCGGGACCCCAAGACCAAGGCCCCAACCTTCCGGGACCTAACGGAACTCACCTCCCAGTCAGAATCATCAACCAGCTTCAGATCCAAAGGGCAGCATTGATCGGGGGTCAGAGGGTTAGGCCAGGGGAGAGGTGGGAAGGGTTGGGGGGGAGGTGGGAAGTGACGGCCCACGAAGGGGGTGGCGATGCTGAGGGGGGTCAAGCCGAGCTCTGCTCTGTAACCCTTCGCCTAACACAATGAAACATTTTTTTTAATGTGACCAGAGGGTTTCTAAAGCCTTCTTGGCCTGGTCACCCCCAATGTCACTTCCTCTCAGCAAGGAGGCCCAGCTCCAGCCCCTCCGGGGCAGGGCGGGCCTGCTGCTGTCTCCAACTGACCGCCTGAGATCCAGCTGTGGGGGGGACAGCGGATCAGGTTTAAGGATTAGGTTTATGAGACAAAGAGGAGCAGGGATCATGCTGAGTGGCGTTGAAGTGAAACAGGCCACACTGTGGGGTGGGGGACTTCTCAGAGCCCCTAGCGGGGGACAAGGACTTCGTGAACCCCCAGGAAGGGCCTAGAATGGAGCAGGGTCCGCACTTATTCAGGAACTTTGGTTCCGCTCCAAGCCCATGCTGAGAAACCCAACTTGCTCTGCGGGCTCCCTGGTTTCATTCCTAGGGTGTGTGCTCCGCTCTGTCCCACAACCTCTGCCCCAGAAGTGGACCAGCATCCCCGCGACACTGCAGATGGCGGAGTGGGTGGGGAGTGGGGGCTATAGCACCTACTTGTGGCTCCCAGCTTCTCCTGGGCCTTCACCGTTTTCTGCATGGGGGCTGTGGTGCTCGCCTTCCAACTAGAGGGTCCTGCCCTGCAGCTGTGGGTCAGACAGGGTTCAGATCCACAGGGGTTCATGCCTTTATTTATTGTGAATTGAGTGGGGGCGGGGTTTACATATCAGACCACCAGCTTTGCAATGAATTGGCTAAACCTCTCCCCAACACCCCCTCTCCCCTGTGTTTTACCCAACTCCTCCTCCCTCCGATTTCCCTTCTCCCTCTTGTGGCCTCCCACCTTCCAGCTCACCCAAGTCAGCACCTGTCGACCTTCTAGGACAGTGGTTCTCCACCTTCCTAATGCCTCGACCCTTTCATACAATTCCTCATGTCGTGGCGACCCCCAACCATAAAATTATTTATTTACTTTTTATATCGAAAACGTTTGTATATAGCATTAGCCAGCTGGGCTGGTTTAGATCAGGGGTGTCAAACTGGTGGCCCGCAGGCCACATGCGGCCCATGGGCCACCAGTTTGACACCCCTGGTTTAGATGATTCCAATTTTGTTCGCAACATCTAAAGCGTCAGAGGCAGGAGCCAGTCGAACATATGCCTTCTTCTCCCCATCTGGCCTGATGAAGGTGTTGACCTTGACTATGTCAATGTCATAGAGCTTCTTTCCAGCCTGTTTGATCTGGTGCTGCTTGGCTTTGACATCCACAGTGAACACAGTGTGTTGCTGTCTCCGATCTTCTTCGTGGCAGACGCTGTGGTCCAGGGGAACTTGATGATGGCATATGGTCCAGCTTGTTTCTCCTGGGGGCGCTCTTCCGAGGGTATTTGGGCTGCCCTCTTAGTCTCAGGGTCTTGGGCCACCGGAAGGTGGGTGATGAGAGATCTTTTTTTTTTTTTTAAATGGCTGTGGATGCCTTTCAGCACGGCCTTCTTGGCTTTTAAAGCCTTGCTTTGACTCCCGTTGGGGGAGGGGCAGGAGCTTCCTTCTTCACCATCTTCATCAAAAGGCCATAAGATTATGTTCGTTGCTATTTCATCACTGTCATTTTGCTACTGTTATGAATCGGCATGTCAATATCTGATATGCAGGATATATTTTCATTGTTACAAATCGAACATCATTAAAGCATTGTGATTATTCACAAAACAATACGTTATTATTTCTTGTGAAATATTTATTTCTAATGACAAATCAATGGAATTTTGCCTTGAAGCGTGGTGTAGTACGGGTAACAGTCTTCACACCGGGTACTTCTAGGCGGGCGTATCTGCATGTGGGCGGACCTGTCTGGAGACGGATAGAATAGAGGAGCAGAAATATGTGTTTTCTGATGGTCTTAGGCGAAGACCCCTGTGAAAGGGTCGTTCGACCTCCAAAGGGGTCTCGACCCACAGGAACCTTCTATTTCTATTGTTTCCTCTTCCCTCCCCGTCCCCCTTTGTGCCCCACCAAAGTCTGTTCTCTTTGACACACAGTCCTTGTCTTGGTTGCAGTTCTAAGAGTCCTGGTGGACCAGGATATCTGTCCTTTTGTGGTTGACCAGCGTCCCTCAGCCTGATGCTCTTCAAGCCCATCCATGTCCTGAGGGGCTTCCTGGTTTCACCCCTGGTTTTAGCCATGCACAGTATTCCAGTGTGCATGTGCACCAGA